CGTCCAAATTCTGCACCGCGGCCCAACGACTCCAAACGGTAACCGACGTCGGGAGGCCTCCGTTCGTCGACGCGAAATGCCGGCCAGCGTCCAGTAAGGTATGCTGCGGCGGGCGATCGTCGACAACGGTCCAAAATTCGAATGCTTTTCCCACCGGGCGCCCTTTTGACGGCGCCAGTCTCATTAGAGAAGATCGTCATTTTYTTCGATCGTCGTCACTCCTCGCACATTGGAGCACAAAACTTTCACCGATCTTTCTTGTGTCGAMGGGCTTGTTCGTTGAACGGTCGACSGCCGACGTCACAATGCAGCCCTTCGAACGACCCTTACATGGCCGACGGGCTGCACAGGCTGCCTCTGCTGGTCCTGGTCACCGTSCTGCTTCTCGTCGTTGTCTTCTTCCACGTGTGTTTCGTCGGCCTCGTCCCGATCGCGGCACGCAGAAGGAGATCTTYGAAGAAAGCYGACAGGATGGATCGACAAGTGGCCAACGGCAGACCGACAGGCACAACCTCCGGAGGGAGCAATCGGCAACACAGTGCGGGGTATGTGGCGAAGCGGCCGTACGACCCGAGGTCGTATGCACACCTGCCTTCTCACGAGATTCCTCTGCCGTCGTCGGATGACGAGGGAGGAGACGCCAGGTCGTTGACTTTGCCGTTGGGAAGTGGGTCGACGCAGGAATGGGCGGCGACGCAGTCGTGTGGACGCGGGAGGGTGGAGACCCCGTGGTCTTACACGTCACTGTTGAACGAGGGGCTGTGCGACGACGACGACAATGCAGCGGTTGATCTCAGCTTCCAGTTGTCCAGCAGCAGCGGAGAGGCGGTAACGCACACTCGGATCATCAATCCCCACCYGGGTGTGGATTGCGCGGACAACACGCACGGTGGTGTGTGCGGGCCGCGAGACGGCGGTCTGCCTCAATCGCTTCGTGAACGTGGTGGTGATCGGAATGAGTCGACGTCGACCGTCGGCGGAGGAGTCGGTGCTCATGAACGTCCGGAGTGGATGCGGTTGTCACCTGCGTTGCGAAGCGGATCCGGCGCTCCTTCTGCACGACAGCGGCCGAAGCATTTGCGTCAGGAAGGTGCGGACGTACAGCGCGACGGCAAGCAGCTGTGGGCAGAGTGCAGGCAGGCCTTGCATCAACGTGGAACGGAGACAATCACAAGAGGGGTGCAACGACTCCACCTGGACGAAGGGGACGAAGCTGCTGCTGAGGATGCCCAGGGGTGAGACGACGTTGATGGTGACGACGATTGCAACTCCGGCGATTTGCCGGACATTAGGGCGCTGGGGAGGAAGGCGACGAAGGACGGAGCGACTGCGAGGAAGGGTCACGCTGCAAAAAGTCGATGGAGCAAGAAAATGGATGACGACACGGGCCGGAGCGATGGCGAGGGCGGCCGGAATTTCTGGTCGGTGGGAGACACGATCGCACTCGTGAGGGCAAGAAGGGACCAAGATCTGTATTTCGTGGGCATGGGCACTAGTTTCGCCCGCATGAAAACGAGGGAGTGGATGTGGGAGGAGGTGAGGGTGAGGTTGCAGTCGATGGGCGTGACGAGGGATGTTGTCGACTGCGGGAAGAAATGGGACAACTTGATGCAGCAATTCAAGAAGGTTCACAAGTTGCAGAACCTCTCCGACGGGAAAGACTACTTCAAACTTGCATCGAAGGACAGGCGGTCAGAGGGCTTCAGCTTCGTCATGGACCGGAGCGTGTACGGCGAAATGGAGGCCATGACGAAGGGGGATCACACGATCCACTCGAAAAATTTGGCGGACACGGGGGCGACCGGTGGGGTTCAGATGCCGGCAGGCGCGGGGGCTGCAGGGGACACCATGGCCACTGAGGGTGGAGGGGACGCAACCGATGAGGAGCAGGGGTCGACGAAAGACTCCACATTCAGCGCGGGRAGCGGCGGCGGTTATGGGAAGAGGAAGAACATGCGGCAACAAACCTTTGAGGCCGTCGCCGACGTTATGGAAAAGCATGGTGCGCTTATGGCGAGCACAATGGACAGCGCAAGCAAGCGGCAATGCTCGATGATGTCACGTAAGTG